TTGGTTTAGAAGAGTACCAAGTAATGCACCATAGTGGATTTGATACAATTAGAGTATATTACAGTTTGTTAAATTGCAAACAAGACAATGTGACTAAAAGAGATTCACTAGTGACATCATTATTGAAATTCAATCATTGATGGTCCTTTTGAATTTTCTTATGACTATAAGGTTGAAATTATCTCGAGTATAGATCCCAAGTCACATAAGCTCACAAGACACGTATTCAGTAAGTACCAACACATTTGATAATGAGTCAAATGTAAGGATATCATAGTCAATGAGTCATATCGAAAGATAATCTTGTCGATCCATTCCCTAAGCCAATATCATTAACCAAGTCAGACAGCCAGACAAAGTTGAGATGCATTAGATTTGCAAATGAATTGGCTTAAACTCTCTTAGTTTAGTATATTTTAACCTGAGAACTTAAAGCAGCATATGTGTTAATTCAATTTGGCGATTATTAAGTATAGATCTTAATATATGATGGAGTTCGGTAATTTCAATTAGCTTAATACTGAGTTCTCCTTTTACATGCTTGGAACCCACTTCCCAAGTATTAATTTTCTCAAATGTCCACACTCAGTCATACTCTTGGAAGTAAGTAGTGATTCAAGACTGTCATGAGCATTAGTGGATTATCCATAGTGATTGGACATAGCATAGAGATTTCCCTAACACTCATGAGTACTTAATATAGATTTATGTATTGGACCAATTCGTGCTTAGAGATTACTACATATATATAGTCATGAGTAATTCTAAGATGATAATATCTTATACTCTTAATACCTAGATACATGTGGCGTTTTGCTCTATGATTCTGCTATGCATTGGTGTACTCCAATGCTATCCGTAACTTGTAGTTATAAAGGGTATATCCATGTATGACATGATGAAATAGACAAAAACTATGTATTCGAAGTTTATTTGTTCCTTTTACTTTAATAGGAGAACCGATATCTATGGGTCCCTTGATGATTTGGTGCTGACATATAAAGTGCTTGGCCGAGCCTTGAATGGAAATTATGTGTTTAATTTAGTAGTCAAATGCATTCATCACAAATCTATATAAGGAAACATAATATTGAATTGTGAGATTAACCATTATCAATGTCTCAAATTCATACAGATGTCAAAGAACGAAAGGATAGTTGATCACTTATCTAATAGCTGAATCTTGATTAGATCAAAAGTTCAGTAGTTGCATTGGATGGCTATCTCTCTGTTGATTATTGGAGAAGTATTGGTCCTCATATAGTTGATGACTTATCCAAGTAGGAGACTGTTGGAAAGAGTGTCCAAGGTCATTAAATATTGGTAATACTTCTAATAATAACAGGTTCCTTTTGGGTTTCCCTCAAGATCCAAATTAAGTAGAATAAATATAGGATAAATTGGTTTATTAATTATTATGTTTAATAATTAATTAGAAACTAATTGGAAATATATTGTAGGAATTAATTAACAGTTTAATTAATCAAGGTTGAATATTCAATTAATCACTGGTTGGTTGATATGGAATATTCCAGAACCATAAGGAGAAGGGTGATCGATGAAAATCCTCTTAGGATGAAAGGAATATCATTCTTAGGGTTATCCATGATGGGGTTTTAGAATAACAAACAATCCCTATGTGTACATGCAACCCTAATGTGATTGGATGTATGTTTTCTCTATATGAACATACAAGTATTGAAAATCAAAAGGAAAAACACTAAAAGGTAAATACTATTTTAAAAATTAATAACATAAGATAGTAAACATACCTTTGATTGTTATGTAGTAATAACAATGTGAATCCAAGAGTTTTTGAAGCTTGAGAGCGAGTGTCACAAGTGTCACACCTCTAATTAATCACTACCAAACCAAGCAAGAGGATGAGAGATGAGAGAGGAGGAGAAGCTCTTAGAAATTCAGTTCTCCTTCTAGGATTCAAAGTGACCAAAAATCACAAGACCTATGGGTCTATTTATAGTGTAAAGAGGATACACTAGATAACCCTAATTTGAATAAAATATTATTAATTCAAATTGGTGACTATCCACCTCCTTAATTATATACTTTGGATATTATAAAACCATAATTCTCATTTAGTAAAACCATCCACCACCTACTAGGAAGGTTTTGGAACCTTTTGCTTAACTTTTGAACAATTGCACTTTAGTTACTACACTTTCAATTAATTCTTTTAATCCAAAAATTAATTCTAATTAAATTCTGATTAAGTATTAATTAAATAATATGATTTCTAATTAATATACTATTTTCATAATGCAATAATAAATCATTTATTTCAATTTATTAATCAAATAATAAATTCAACCTTTCTCCAAAAGTCATCTTATCTAGTTGCTAGTTTTAAGGGCAACCCAAAATGCTGTGCTACTATCAATTCAAGTATATATGCCAATTATAGGTATGGGCTTAGATACCTAATCCATCAGTCTCCTACTTGGATAAGTCTAATAACTATAGTTAATAGTATAACTTCAAAATTTTATTAGCAAATTGTAGCTCTCAAAGCCGCTGTCGAACTCCATTTTGCAAGATATCATGTGGACAAGCGACATGGAACAGAGTCAATCTCATTGTACAAAACTTTGTTTCTCAATTTCCGATGCGTAATGACAAAGAACTACTAATCAAACATATCAATCTAGTCCTGACCAGGCCTGACACTATAAGTCAAAACCAAATCATCAAGGGGCCCAAGATATCGCTTTTTCCAGTTAGTGAAAAAAAGAATAGATAAACCTTGGCTTATATGCATGCACTATTTACTCATCAAGTCATGCATAACAATTTGTTTTATAACATCAAGATATTGATGCATTTATGCATTATTAATGCACAACCAACTTGTAAACAAAAACTCATATATCTCCGTTTAAAGATTATATGTTATTATTGTCTCAGAATTACTCGTAATAAATTCCATGAAGTAATTCTATGAGCGCATTAATCCAATAATCAAAATCCCTATTTTAGAGTACTCATTAATGTTGCAACAATCCATTGCTATGTCTAAGCCCTTCGACAATCTACAACTCAATTCATGACAGCATTAATTCACTACTAACTTCCAAAAGTATGATCAGCTGTGGATGTTTGAATAATCCAATTATTTGGGAAGTAAAACATGCAAAATGAAACATAATAATAAACAATTGACAAATGATAGCAAACAATACTCATAAATAATTCTCGATTACTTAATCATCACATGTCAATTACATTTATTTTGTTACAAGTTTCTAAATATCTATCTATCCACTAAAAATAATATCATCTTTCAGACCAATGCTCCTGGCATGCTAAACGTGCTTAAGCCTAATTACACCCTTTATGAGGGGATCTGTAGAATTCTATTCTGATGATACCCTCTCGATCTGCCATGATCTCTCGATTCCTTTTCGAAGGAAACCGCTCCTTCATTATCAAAGAAAATCTCCATTGGCTCCTTTATGGCTGGTACAACCCCAGAGTCTATGATGAAATTATTCAACCATATAGCCTCCTTTGATGCTTCACTTGCTGCAATGTATTCAGATTCACATGTAGAATCAGCCACCATTTCTAGTTTGGAACTTTTCTAAATTACTGCTCCTCCATTAATGGTAAACATCCAGCCAGATTGAGAATGGAAGTTGTCTCTGTCTGTCTGAAAGCTAGCATCATTATACCTAGTAACTCTTAAGTCATCATTGCCACTAAGCACAAAGACCCAGTACTTAGTGCTTCACAGATACTTAAGAATCTTCTTGACCGCTATCCAATCAGCTCTACTTGGATTTTCCTGAAATCGACTAACCATGCTCAAAGCAAAAGCCACCTCAGGGAAAGTACATGTCATAGCATACATGATTGATCAAATGGCACTACTAGAAAAACAGCCTTTTACGACGCTCATTGCGCGTCATAAAAGGCTCAGACGACGCGCAAATGCGCGTCAAGGAAGGCCCTGTCATAAAGAGAGACGACGCGCATTTACGACGCTCGTTTACGACGCGCAATTACGACGTGCGTTTATGACACGCAATGCGTATCAAGGAAGGCCCTGTCATAAAGGAAGATGACACGCATTCGTGTGTCGTAACCTTACGACGCGCGTGTTAATGACACGCAATGCGTATTAAGAAAGCCCCTGTCAAGAAAGGCCATGTCATAAATGAAGATGACACACATTTTTGCGTATCATAATTTTAAATGTTTAAAAAAATAATCTTTATAGGTTTACTTATTTTCTAATTAAATTTGTATTCAATGTTTCATAATAGAAAATAAAATATCATATACAAAAATTAGAATCCATTGCTTAAATTTAATGTCATACAATTCTATTTCTTACAATATATAAATTTGCATCTAATCTACTATGTACATCAAATTTCAAGTAAGTAACTTCACTTGCAGGAGGAATCAACTCCATGCTTCAAATCACCAATAGAATAATAACAAACTGCACCTAGAGTAGACTACCTTCTTTTGGCTCCATTACTTCCCAAAGAGATTGACTCCTTCCATAACACCAGATTGTAATTCCTCCTTATCATTGGTATTGGAAATATCACAGAACTTGGTGTATTCCAAGATAATCTGATATCCTTAGTTCTAGGAGATGTTGGTGGGCATTAACCAATCGACCAATGAGAACTGATGGTGTAAGCAACTAAAGAACATATTAAAAGCATTAATGTAATAAATAATAATTATGAAATTTAATATATTAATGACATAATCAGTTTTAGCTAACTGATAGAGTTGTTATATAAATATGTTATTAACTAATATTATCATATCAACATTACAAACATCAGATAAAAGATATAGCACCTTGAGTTATAGTTATGATTAAACATAAAAAAAATGATATTTTTAAATATTTGGTGCTAAAATTAAAAATAATCACCTTTGCGTTCCATTCCATGTTCTTTAACTTCCCATTTAGCATTAACAATTCGATCAGCATACCTGCCAAGGGACAGTTTAGACCTTTACCAATTCATATTTTCAGACTCTGCACTTTTCTTCATTATCCACTTGGACACAGTTTCACAGTCCACAAGGCAATGAGTTTCTTTTGTACACTACAACAATAGCAACAAAAATATTTTATCTTTTATATAGAAAAAACATAAACTAATATTTTAAACTTTTATAAAAATGCATGAATTATGATACTCACATTCCAACATGAGTTGTATGAGCAATAGCAAGTTACATTATAGCTTCCACTTCCAAGATCAAACTCAATAGCACAATCACGTCTAGGAGCAAGTTAGAAAAATCTTTTTTTAAAGTAGCCAACAAGATTCAGACTACAATTACAAAAAATATAAAAAGTACCATGTATGGTCAAAACAAGATTCAGACTACAATTATAAAAATCTTTTTTTTTAAGTAGCCAACAAGAGTTGTCAAGAAAATAAACTTACAGTGACAGATCGCAAATATCTTCTCTGAAACAAATCGAATATTTTGGCCTTCGGGAGCTTTTGTAGTGTTTCTATATAATCCTATCAACATATTCAAGACCCCATTGATAACACATAAAAAGAATTCTATAATTTTTATTCGTTAACAAAAATAAGAAAAAAGTTGAGAGCTTTGAAATGAACACCTGGATTTCATCCGCCTCCTCAGATATATCAGCATCCTTCCCTCTAAGTTTTCTTAGGGCTGCGTCAAACTCTTTCTTTCTTCCAATCTTTACCTGCATGCATGATGTCAAACATAATTTCTTGAAGATAAATTAAACAGCTTCATTAATCATGATACTTCACATAGCAGCCATCTAGGAGATTCTGGTACAAAGAAAAGTCCCACTAATAGAACATCACGAGGGATTAATCATTAATCCTGCAAACAGAACACTAGAATTCATCACCTTTTATTTTCTTTATCCATAAGAATGCCACTAGTAGTAAATAAATATAATTTAGACTAATTTAAAACCTGTCAATGCCAAGGTCCTCCATGTTAGCACTGTACCAATTATAAAGGCAACAGACACTCTTGTACATATCTTGAATTCCACTAGTAGTAAATAAATTTAATTTTGGTGCACATCCCTGTAGTGTAGTGTACCAATCAATTATCAAATCAATTTTTTATTTTTTTATTACTAATATATGGTGAAAATATGTATCTCATAGTCAAGAGGCTTGCAGATGTGTCTCGCGTGTAACAAGTAGGAAAAGCAGAGATTTTTCATTTTTATTTTTTGTTGTAGGAAGGGTATATCAGGCAACATTTAATCTTTAAATGCTCCCCTCCTTTACTTCCAATTTTCAATTTCCTATTTCCTAATAATTAGTTATACCTGAAAAGGGTGTGAATATCAACTGTTGTAAAGAAGCCTCTTCCATTAAGATCTAAACATCAGAAAAGATATGTAATTCCCTCTGGAATGTCTTTGTTTTTAGGGCTAGAACAAAGTCAAGGAAACTCTCAAAGCCCATCTCCCGAGCATTTCCTCTTCCCGTTTTACCCCTACGCACATGCTCATCAAAAGTTATTGGACAAGTTAATATCACAAGTCATTCTAAATATATATAAATTATCAGATTGAAAAAATAACAGAAAAAGATAAAATAAGAAAGTAATTCTTAGTTCTTACCCCTCTCGATAAAAAGCAATAGAACAATGTTCGGGTGATGCCTGATATAAAAAAGCAACCATGTAAGTAAAGTCTGAAAGCATGAAATTCTTATGCATCAAGAAAAGATTTCATGCAACAAATAAGTTATATAAAGAACATTAAGATAGAAGGGATTTGCTAATTGCTATTCAAAAAGTGCAAAGAAGACTCTGTAGCTTTTGATTCATGAAAACTTTTTGGATTCTTTGAAAGACTCCCGACTGATTCTAAAAACTATCAAGTAATCAAATCCCCTTTATTATCTATAACATAAATCAAAACTCATAGTTTTTATTCAGTTTTTTTTTTTCATTTTGTTTTTTGGGTGATGTGTAACATGGTTTTCTACAAATATATATAAAAAAGCCACCATATGAATCAAAAAAAGGAAGTTTATGCCCAAGAACTCTAAAGAACATAGGGGGGTTGCTATAGCAGCAGTAAGATACTACCTGGATGGATGCTTGATCATCCTCATGAGGAATGATATTGTCTACATCCATGGTATCGATACCTGTAGAAGCAGCCAAATCTCTATTAACTGTAGTTGATGGATGCTCTTGGATAGCTGATGATTGAGCAACAACTGTTTCACTATCACCCATAGTAAATAGGTGATTGATTGTATCTTAAACCTGTATAGAAGATAACAATCGTGAACAACCAAGGTAACCATACAAAGGTGATAGCAGTTCGAAATTCTCAACCATGTAACATCTAATTAGTCCAAATAAACATAAAAAGTGCTAAAAGTTATATATTTTAACTAGGCAATACAAGTAGAGGTCTAAATGTAGAACTAGATAACCTAATCATAATAATATTTCCAATTAGCTACATTTGTGATACAGTTGCATGAAGAAAAAAACGTCGCCATAACTTTTGCAAGAGTAGACTCAGTATGTTAAATAGGAATACAATATTGAAACTTGAAACCTACGAAACTATATCAGTGTTTGTTTGAGTGTGGAGTACCCACTACATAATTAGAGATAATCCATTCATCAGCCAAGGAAACTCTATACTCTAGTCTTTTTATAAGTTCTTCAGTTAAGCTTTCTCATTAAAATTTCCATATCTCTGTAACAATCAACCTTAACGCAAACCCTAAAGGTTGTCCTCTATGTGGCAATTAACATGCATAAGTTATATATTAAGCAGTAACAAAACCTAAACAAAGAATAACAATTGTATCTTTTGATTTTGATCAACTGTTAACAATTATATTCCTTTTGTTATCCTATATCACTTTTCAGTCCATATGAAGCCCTTCGGGCCCACACATATTCAAAGTTCACAAGTACGATGAAGTGAACAGGTGAATCTCCGGTTGCCTCTGTATACATTATCAAAAAAAATGTTAAAAACCTGATGCAAGTAGGGTTTTCTGATAGCAGTCTCAAAATCAATAATCTTGGGATCAAATTCTTTAGCCTTCTTGTACAGCTCTTCTCTAATGGCAATATAAGACTTCACCTCTCCAGCTTCTGTTACGCCTTCACTTACAGGTTTAGAAGGTTTCTCCACTGCATCCGGATGAAATTCCCATTCACTTTCTTCAATATTATTGGCTTCGTCTTTAGAATTTGTTGCAACTGCAACTTCCTCAGGGGTTTTCAATTCAGAGAAAGGGCGACTTGCTATTAATCCCTAAAGTTGTAAAGTGTAGGAAAGAGTATGACCATTTTTAGTTTATTTTGGACCTAACAAAAGCTAGAGCTCTTCTACGTAAAAAATTGTATATCACCTGTTATAATAGCGGTCCAATTGCTAATTAGGATGCTCCGATATCCGTGTGTATATCAATGCAAGATTGGACCACTATTGTTGTTGGTACTCATATTCGATGTATTTATCCCATAAAGGAAAAGATATGTAGGTAATCAGTTCCAGCATAAGCTCGTATTTGATGTATTTTGAGATTAAAATCAAAAAGTCGCCATCGTTAGATTAACTGCCCGGCACAAGATCTTGTTCGATTAAATTTCTGAAAGAAGAACGCAAAAAACTGGGAGGATATAAGAACCAAGGTCGCCGGCAGGTGGGGCGAGCGGAGGTAGCGAATGTTGTAGAGAGCACTCCCGTTTGGTTTCTTCTTGAAAAAAGCCCTAGATTTGGACGCCTTTTGTAATTGAGGATAATGGTGGTGACGGTCGATTGTGTAGAGGTGAGTATGAGGTAAGGTGGAATGAGATCTTATGAAAAAAAGCCCTAGATTTGGACGCCTTTTGTAATTGAGGATAATGGATGTGCGTTTGGTAAAATAATTATAAAACGACGCCTTTACAATCCAGAAGGTGGAGGATAGAGATGAGAGAAAACCTGGTGGAGAAGGAGAGACGAGAAGGTGGTGGTGTGGATTAGGGGTTGTTCAACTGGTAGCTTCGATTAGGGGGTGGAGACGAGGGAGAAGAAGGCGGGGGTTTAAAAAATTTGAAGATTTCATTTTCCCTCTAAGGAGAAGCGCGTTTCTTAAAAAAAAATATAAAACGACATTCATAGACGGCGCACCTTTTAGATAAAGTGCCCTCCGTGTTTTTAATTTTTTTATATGAGACACTAATTTAAGGGCACGCAATAATGCGTGATCTAAATTCTTAAATTTTTTGAAGAGATAACACTTTTTTAACGTCACTCTCTTTTGCATAACATAAATCTCCGAGTGTCGTTGTTTGCGCGTCGTAAAAGGGTCTTTTTCTTGTAGTGTGGCAGAAGCATATGGAACTTGACTTATTTCTGCTACCTCTACATCAGTACTCAGACTCTGAGTCTTACTCACTTTGGTATTACTCTGGATATGCAACTCTCTTTTCTTGGAATTCTCCATGCTAAAACATTTTAGCAACTTATTTGGATACTCAGCTTGGTATTACTCTGGATACGTACTTTGACTAAGTCTAATTAGTCTTTTACTCTTGTTTCTTAAAATCCCTATTCCCATAATATAAGCAGCATCTCCCAGATCCTTTATAGAGAAACACTTTCCAAGCCAAGGATTAACCTCCTGCAAAGTTGGAATGTCGTTTCCTATAAGAAGTATGCCATCGACATACAATACTAGGAAGGTGATTATACTCCCACTAGCTTTAACATATACACAAGATTCATCTTTACTTCTAGAGAAGCCAAACTCTTTAACTTTCTCGTCAAAGCAAAGAGTCCATCTACGAGAAGCTTGTTTCAATCTATAAATTGATTTCTCAAGATTAGACACTCTATTAGGGTACTTAGCATCCACAAAACCCTCTGGATGACTCATGTAAACATCCTCAGCCAACTCCCCATTTAGGAAAGCCGTTTTGACATCCATCTACCAAATTTCATAGTCATGAAATGCAGTTATGGCTAACATTACCCTAATATATTTAATCTTAGCTAATGGTGAGAAGGTCTCATCATAGTCAACCTCTGGGGTGTGAGTAAAGCTCTTCACAACCAGTCGAACTTTAAAATTGTGTAACTTTCCATACATGTCAATCTTCTTTTTAAAGATCCATTTGCACCCAACTAACTTACGACCTGTGACATTGTTAACCAAATTCCAAAATTGGTTGTCATACATGGACTTGATGTTGCTATCCATTAACTCTTTCCACTTGGAAGAATCATGGCCCACCATAGCTTCCATGTAGTTAGGAGGTTCATCCAAATTTACCAGTGTATGATAACTGATAAATGTATCACCATCTATAGTAATATGGAAACCATAAAACTCAGATGGCATTCTAACTCTATTGGAATGCATGAGAGGCAACGACTTATAAATTGGTTCAACTGGAATTTCTTCCTCAGGTTGAGCGCTAGTATTAGAGGTCCCTTTGTTGTTTAACTCTTGAATTTCTTCAAGATCAATATTACTCCCACTTTCCTCTTTGAGTATGAGTTCTCTCTTACAAAAGACTCCCCTTCGTGCTATGAAGACCAAGTTATGACCAGGTATTTAGAACAAATATCAAAAGGAGTTTTGTATGTAGCCGATGAAAATACATTTATCACTTCGAGGTTCAAGCTTGTTGTGAATCTCCTTTATAATTAAAGCTTCACAACCCCAAACCTTGATATGTGCCAACGAGGGAACCTTCCCTATCCACATCTCGTGAGGTCTTTTGGCAATCCTCTTTGTTAGGAAAAAATTAAGAATCTGGGTGGCAGTCTCTAAGGCATACCCCCATAAATAGATTTGAAGTTAAGCTTGATTTATCATGGAAACAACCATGTCCAACAAGGTTTGATTTCTCATCTTAGCCATCCCATTAATTTGTGGCATCCTAGGAGGTTTCAATTGTGAAACTATTCCATATTCCTTGAAGTATACATGGAACTCAGTACTAATATACTCACCACCTTTGTTGGATCTAATCATATTTATCTTCATGCCCAATTGATTCTCGACATCACGTTTGAACTCTTTGAACGTTTCAAAGGGTTCTGACTTATGCTTGATCAAATCGATATAGCCATATCTGATATAATCATCAGTAGTAAATGTCACATAGAATCAATTTGCATCCTTTATGGTGGATCTGAAGGGCCTACACACATCTGTGTATATGAGATCCAAAAATCCTTCACTTTTATGAGAAGAACCAGTGAAAGGCAATTTTTTCATTTTCCAGGTAAACAAGACTCGCATGTTGATGTGTTTTGAGCATAATAACAATCGTATGGTGTACATACAAACCCTAAAGCTTTGGATCTTGTTTTTCTAATTGTACATGCAATAATCATCCAAAGCTTATAAACCCTAATCTAGCATGCTTGTTTCAAAATTGACATAATAAACAAGTTAGCATGATACCTTTCTTTGTAGCTTAAAGATCTTCAACCTTTAAGATCTTTAGTATCACAAGTGTAATACCTCTAATCGATCACAAACACCAAAAAGCAATTGGAGAATATGAGAGAGAGGGGGAGGCTTAAAATCGGCTGTAATATCCCTCTAGGTTTTCTTGTAGCCGAAAATATGATGCCAAGGGGTTCCTTATATAGGTGAAGAATCAGGGTTTCATTCAAAGACCTAATCCGGTTGCTTAGGCTCTAAGCAGCCCATAAGATCCTTCCAGAATCCTTATCATGGATGAAATGCTTATGGGCTACCCATAAGATTTTGTCCATCCCTATTCATAGGGATCCTCAACCCATTTAGAAATTATCATATAATTACAATATCAATCCCCTTAATTTAGTTAATTTCTTTGGACAACAAAATTAATTCTTGGCTAATATTAATTAAATAATACGATTTCCCTTTTAATATATTATTCCTATAATATATTAATAAATCATAATTAACCTCTTTCTCCATATTTCATCCAGTCAAGTTGCTTTGGTGAAGGTAACCCAAAAGGACCATGCTACTATTGGGTCAACCACATACCAATTATAGTTATGGGCTTAGACACTTAATCCAACAGTCTCCCACTTGGATAACTCTAACAACTATAAATGCAAGTACAACTTTAAATTCCGATTAGCAATCGTTGCTCTCAAAAGCCGTTATCGAACTCTAACACATCATTTAGATAAGGGATCGTATAGTCCTTCGCTCTTAAGATATCGTGCGGACAAATACATGGAGCATAGTCATACTTATTGTCCAACAGTTTGTTTCCTGATTTTTGTATTTGTCGGATATAGAACTTAATTGAACACATCAATTTAGTCCTGACCGGGCCGGGCACATAAGTCAAACCAAATCATCGAGGGGCCAAGATATCGCTTTTAACCTCGTAGGATAAAAGGAACATCTAAACTTTGACTTATATGCTTGTACTATTTAGTCATCAAATCATACACAACAATACGTTTTATAACATCAAGTTACTGATACGTTTACGCACTATCAATGCACAACCAACTTGTAAACCACAACGGATATATCTAGGTTTAAAGACTATATGATATTATTGGCTCACAATCACTCATGATTAAATTCCATGAAGTGATTCATGTGAGTGCGGGTTTAATCCAATACTCAAAGCTTATTTCAGGAGCGGTCATGAACGTTGCAACAAACCTTTTCTATCTCTAAATGCTTAGACACTCTACAAGCCAATTCATGACAATCTCCTTGTCACAGACCCGGACCGTTAGAAATATAACGGCGGAAACGTCTGGGGGCGGGTGATGTCATACGTATTACACAACAATTGTATCATAGTAATCAAAGTAAACACACAATATGAATATTTACATCTATTTTGAGAACATAGTTTGAACATAATAGTATATAGCAAAAGATAAAGGTGAGACTCCAAAAATGCTCCGTCTTCTCCAAAAGCTGGTAAGGTACCTGTCTATCGTTGACCTAAGAATACAAGCGATTTTAAAAATATATCAGCATAAAGCTGGTGAGTTCATAAGCATGTCTTTGTGTATTGAAAGCTAATCACTGAGTTTGTATAAATGATTTCTTTCCATTATAAGTAAAATGTCGATTATATCGAAAACCGTTGTTATCAAGTTCTGAAATACGTATGCATGCTTACCAAGAAAACCCAATATTTTCTAACATGTTTGTTGGTCACACCCCCGGACTGTGACAACCCGAAATTTTCTATTATGTACAACCCTTCACTTCAATAGAAGTCGGAACAGCTTCTGCTAATTTTCAAGCTTTTTGGAATAAGTTTGAGCATATTAGGATTAGCACTTTAGGAGATATCATGAAAGAGGATGCCCTAGGGTATTTTGTGCATCATAAAGTTCCAAAAACTCCAAGAGTTTGGAGTTTACAGCTCCAAATGGCATTTGGACTATAAAATCCATGGAGTATATATATGGAACTTAGCCATTTTTACTTCATTTCTTCCATTTCAACTAGAGAAAACCTGATTTCTCTCCCAAGGATCTTCAAGCTTTCGTCCGGATGGGCTTATTGTGTCTTGGGACTTCATTCGTGGAACTTCTCATCCATACGCGCATACCCGTTTGAATCACCCACATCAGGTGAGTTCATACCCCTTAATTAACCTTTTAAATGTTTTTAAATGTTTCTAAATGCTTTATGGGGGGGGGGGATACAAGTTGAAAGATGGCTAGTTATTATATCAATCACATGTGATTAATAACTAGCATGCAAATCGATTTTCTATACGTTACCTGTTTTACCAATCATATTTCTTCAAATGACTTTCTTAAACATTTTTACATGTTTAAAATGTGTTTCCTTTCAAACTCTGTTACAAATGTGTTTCAAACAAACGTTTTCCTTATACTTAAACTGTCTTATCAAACCAAATACCTTCAATCGTTTTATAAACTGACAACAAGTCATCGTTTCTTAGTATTAAACTTTTCAAAGGAATTTACAAAACATCTTTTACTTATATATCATGTACACATACATAAACATAAAAGTTCCACCAGTCAGTTCGGTACCTTCGGGTAGCAAAGGCATACTTTCAGTTAAACACATAAATTACTAGTAACTATAAACTGACATCAAGTCATCATTTCTTAGTATTAAACTTTTCAAAGGATTTTACAAAACATCTTTTACTTATATATCATGTACACATACATAAACATAAAAGGTTCCACCAGTCAGTTCGGTACCTTCGGGTAGCAAAGGCAACTTTCAGTTAAACACATACATTACTAGTAACTATAATAAGTATAGTCAGGAGATATTACTTACCATTCCAAGTACAAGGAATCACACAAGAGTCAGTTCATTCATGAGTCTATACTAATAGATTACATATGAATAGATACGCTTACATGAATACACCTACATATTACAAGAATACGTTTACATAGATACGCTTACATGAATCCTCTTACATGGATACTTTTACCTAGATACTATATGATGAGATACTATTACATATTATCCATGTAGATTAGCTCTGTCTATCCTAGTACAAAAGGATACTTTGCGGGACCAACCATTCCTATAACCTCTGTTAGCTACAGAGGTAAATGCACATCTACAGATGTCTACGGTTGATACCATTATAGGTATACTTTAAGGGACTAATTATTCCTAAACCCATCTATTAGCAACAGAGGTAAATGTACATCTACGGATGTCTACGGTTAATACCATTCAGTACTTTCTATGCCGTGTTTATCCTAGTACCAAAGGATAATACTTAAGTTATTAGCTCTTTTCCTTTATTTTGTGATTCATTCACATAAACAACGATGTAGACTAATACTTACATAATTATATTATTACCTTTTATTTTGTGACACATTTACATAATCGATGATGTAGACTATAGTTTTATAATAATAGTTAAACAGGGAAAAAACCGTCACATTTACAGTGATGTGTACTTTCAAAACAGTCTAGTCTTGGTAGAAGGCTACTTTCAAAACAGTTAGGTCTTGGTAGAAGACTACTCTTTATACTAATAGAAATCATAGGGATTTGCTAGGGTGTTCAAACTTTCTCAACTACTTTCAAACAGTTCATACTTATATAAACTTTTCCAAATGTTTACAAGTCGCTACTTTCCAGTTTAACAAATCAAAGACACATTAATACTTATGAATTCGCCAGCTTTATTGTTGATACTCGC